AGTGTTCCTTTTTTCTTTATTTCATATTGTCTTTTTTCATATATATATTTATTTATATCGAAATTTTTACGCACACACTGACATATATATATATATATTTAATATATGTATATATAAATAAAAAGAAAGAACAGTAAGATATATAATCCGGTGTTCTTATAGATATTTTTATTTTTACAAAATAGTGCTCAATGTAAATTTACAGAGCATTAATATTATAAATTAATTGATTTAAAATATGTTTTTTTTTTGCTACACAGTTCTAACCATGTTTCAAAAATGGAAGCTAAAAGCTCCGAATTTAATTTTGTAATTAAATTAAAAATATTAGTTCCATTTCAGCCTCAAGCGAATTTTGGAGTAACTTTTAAAATTACTGGGTTTTAAAGACACAGCAAAAATCATAATTCACATTTCCAAGGTTACAGATAAATCCACTTCCACCAGACAAGGGGTGTCTGCGTGTTCATTATGTCTGTATTTTGATGTATCCGTTATTAGTTACGTTTTTTGGTAGGGGTAGGGATGTATTTTTCAATGAAATCTGACATCCGTTAAATGCATGTCGTCTGAATTTTTTAAATTTTATTGTTAACGGCAAAAATTCTTACGGCATTTTTTCTATTTGTATATTTAAAAGATTTTGGGGGGTGTTTAGGGTTAGAATACGTTTTATTTAACTACGAATTGAAATATTTTCACTTTTAATTTTTAATATACTATATTTCTTTTAAGAACAATTAAATGTATTAGAATCCCTTACAGTATATAGAATTATTTTCACATCAATTATAAGTATGTATCAATTATAAGTATGTATATTATTACAAATTTTTTTTTTTTATATTTAAATATTATTTAAGTAAAATTTATGACAATGACGGCAAAAATAGCTAATTAATTTCACTGATTTAGTAAACTTTTATTTTTTATATAAACCTAGTAATATATTGTTTCTTATGTAAGTACAAAGGACATGGGTCATTCAAAAGCTTACATCTTCTAGCATTTCGTATTAACTTCATTTTACTGTAGGTGTTTTATTGGATTCTTTTAAGTATGTGTAGTACTAAGAGGGAGGTCTTTAGGTTAGAATACGTTTTATTTAATTACAATTTAAAAGAAGTTTAGGTTATAATTCATTTTATTTAACTACAATTTTAATTACAACTTTAAAATATTTTTACTGTTAGTTTTAATAGACTATGTTTCTTTTAATAGAAGTAAATGTATTAGAATTACTTACAGTAAGTAAAATTATTTTTCCATATCAAGTACGTGTATATTACGATTTTTAAAATTTTATATGTAAATATTATTTAAGTAAAATTTATGACACTTACGGCAAAAATAGCTAATTCATTTCTCTGATTTAGTAAACTTTATTTATTTATTTATTTTTTTTATTTTATAAACTTAGTAATATATAGTTTCACATGTATGTACAAAGGACATGGGTCATTCAATGTCCTACATATTCTAGCTTTTCATCATAATTTCATTTTTCAGCAGGTGTTTTATTGGATTCATTTAAGCGCCAGTAGTACTTTTTGAGAGGTGTTTTGGTTAGAATACGTTTTATTTAACTACAATTTTAAAAGATGTTTAGGTTAGAATTCGTTTTAACTACAATTTTAAATACAACTTTAAAATATTTTCACTGTTATTTTAATAGACTATTTTTTTTTTAAAGAAAAAACTAATGTAAAAAAATGTAATAGAATTACTTACAGTATATAAAATTATTTTTTCATGTTAAATATAAGTATGTATATTACCTGGTCGCACTTTTTAAATTTATTTTTATTTTTGAATATTATTTAAGGAAAATTTTTGACAATGACGGCATAAAATAGCTATTTCATTTCTCTGATTCAGTAAATTTTTATTTTTTATAAACTTAGTAATATATAGTTTCTCATTAAATGACCTACATATTCTAGCTTTTCTTATTAACTTCCATTTTACTGTAGGTGTTTTATTTGATTCTTTTAGGTGCCAGAAGTATTTCGAGAGAGATGTTTGATTTTTATATTTATTTATCCTAAATGAACTTTGATGTTGGTTGAATCATTTTTTGAACTCATGGCTAGTGCAACCTATATATATTTTTATGTTTTCAGGATTTTCAATCGAAGAGATATTGCATTGGTATACTAATGATTCAGTGCCACATTTATTTTGTAGAGGGCAATTATGAGGGTTTCTACAGTTACATAATTTTTGTTTATTTTCATCAGTTCTTATTTTTATTTTTCCATTGTCTAAATTTTTTTGGTTTTGGTATAAGTGTTTATTTAAGATATTAGCATTATGTTTCTTAATAATTTTTTCTAAGTTTTCCGTACAGCTGTAACTCAATTTTAGTGTGTTTTTATTGAAAATAGTACTTAGTTTACTTTCACTAGGAAAATGCTTGACTATTAATGCGAGGAATTTTTGTCCTAATTTGTTCTTTACCATTTGGTTGTATACCAAATTATTTTTCTACATCTGTTTTTCCTATGCTTTCCATTTTCATTTTTTATATAAGTTAGTTTTGAGTTTTTGTAGCCACTCTCTTTTAGAGCCTTATTATAGGAATTGATATGCTCATTGAAAATCTTGTCATTTGCTGAATTTGTACTAATTCGTTTACTAATAGATAACGGTATATGTTTAATTATAAATGGGGGGTGATTTGATTTAGGGTGTATATATAAAGGATTGGTGTTGGTTTTTTTTATAAGGTGTGTATGTATTTTTATTTAAATCTAATGTTATATCCAGGAAGTTCACTTTTTTTAATTTAGTGCTAACCATAATTTTTAAGCCCATGGTTTTAAATTCTTTATATAATACCTTTCTAATTCTATCTATTTTGAAGTTAGTTGAGTTTCTAATAACCATAAGTCCATGGTCTCTGTACAAACCAATGTCAGTTATATTAATATCACGGTGCGCTGTAAGGTTGTATAATATAAAAAGACCAATGAGATCAGAAGGCTGAGTCTAGTGATCCCATTGTGATGTCAAAGCGGTCATAAGAATTCTTAATCCATTGCTCACCTTTATGTATAAGTACCGATTTTTTCGCATATAGAATAATGTTCTTTTCTTCATCTGTAATATCCATATAGTGGGTGGCAAAGTCCAACGCATTCATAAATAGTTCTTTAGATATTGATTAGTAATAATTATCAATATCAATGGACTTATGGTTATTAAAAAAAAAAAAAATTGTAACCTAATAATATACATACTTATAATTGATGTGAAAATAATTCTACATACTGTAAGGGATTCTAATACATTTAATTGTTCTTAAAAGAAATATAGTATATTAAAAATTAAAAGTGAAAATATTTCAAATCGTAGTTAAATAAAACGTATTCTAACCTAAACACCCCCCAAAAATCTTTAAATATACAAATAGAAAAAAATGCCGTAAGAATTTTTGCCGTTAACAATAAAATTTAAAAAAATTCAGACGACATGCATTTAACGGATGTCAGATTTCATTGAAAAATACATCCCTACCCCTACCAAAATGTAACTAATAACGGATACATCAAAATACAGACATAATGAACACGCAGACACCCCTTGTCTGGTGGAAGTGGATTTATCTGTTACCTTGGAAATGTGAATTATGATTTTTGCTGTGTCTTTAAAACCCAGTAATTTTAAAAGTTACTCCAAAATTCGCTTGAGGCTGAAATGGAACTAATTTCTTTAATTTAATTACAAAATTAAATTCGGAACTTTTAGCTTCCATTTTTGAAACATGGTTAGAACTGTGTAGCGAAAAAAAACCATATTTTAAATCAATTAATTTATAATATATATTTAATATATATATATTTAATATATATATGTATGTATTAAATGATATATTTAATGTATACAGTAGTAATATGTGTGTGTGTGTGTGTGTGTGTGTAATTGCTGTATACATTAAATGACTCAATGTTTATTTACAATTCCTTTTCCATATAAATTGGACTTAATTCATACAAAAAAGGGAAGATTATGGTACGCAATATTTATCAAAGTTATCTCCCTTACAACCGTAAAATTGTTGGTTTTTTAATTTAAGACTAAGAAAAGATTTTCTACCTGTTACTTTTAGTCTATTTATTGGCAAAAGGCAATTTATATTTGCATAAACCGATGTTTTGTATTCTGAAAAACGAATATTAAAGGCAGTTTCAAACAATTCAAATACATATATATATATATATATATATATATATATATATATATATATATATATATATATATATATATATATATATTTTGTTTGACCGTGTTTTGAAAAATGAAAAATTAAAACATTACATTAATTTAATATATGCAACAAATTATTTCTTATTTAACTGTTAAAATAATTCATCCTTGAAAATGGCTAAATATGGGCAAAACTGTTATAGTTATCTCATTCTAGTTTCTGTAAAATTTTTCCTTTTAAATTTTATAGATATGTTCTTGTTTTTATTCATCTATGTACATAAGTGTTACTATGGGTATAACTAACACTATGTTAAGTAAGAAGATGGTAATATATGTTTATCTCCACCAGCAATTCCAATATGTGTGTGTGAGAGAGAGATGGAGAGAGAGAGAGAGAGATGCTGAAAAGGTGTTGTTCAAAACTTTCCTATTCATCAGAATATTTATGAGGAATCCATTCTTGGTTAGGATGAGAATTTTTCAACACACACACACGCAGATATATATGATGTCAGCTTTAACTGACATCATATATCTAACAACAGCAATGTAAAAACACCAGAATTTAGTCAAAAACAGCTTGCTTAAAATACTGACAATTCTTGACAATGACTGTGAAAGAAAAAGGATTATTTGCAAAGAAAATGCAAATTTGTCTGCTTTAATAATTTATCTATTTTATTTTTCATCTTGACAACAGATGTTTGTTTGTGAATGTTATTAGGGATTAAATAACAAATTTTCTTAATTGTCCAGTGTCTTCCTAAATCTCATTGACTTCAATAGTGATGCTATCTGAAACAATTCTTACAATTCTTCAAGTTTACTAGCAAGCGCCTTTGAGGTGAAGGTTGTTATAAGACTATTCCTGATGGCTGAATGATTTTTGGCATCATCTATATTCCATGATTTTCTTAGTTTGAACATAAAGGCTTAATATCATACTCAGTCATTACTATAATGGTCTACTAGGAAAGAGAAAGAAAATATCTTGGTTTTCTACACTTTCCAAGATCCACTATAGGCATTATTATATCCATAATATACTAATGCCTTAATGAGATGGAATGAAGAACTAGAATAAACCCTAAAAATGAATTCCAAAATTGTGTTATACTTGAAATATACTATACTCTAGTAAATCATAGTAAGATGCAAAACATATATACATATGAATAAAGATGTTAATTAAGCGTGTATGGTAACAAGAGAAAGGAATAACGAGGATTAGAGTGAAAAGTTTATTGTTGGTAAAGAATACAGGAATAGTGATCAGGTGTATGCGTAATGTTGAGAGTTGAACCATTTCTTGTGCCTGTGTGGATGAGGTATATGGTATATGGTTGGTGCACATTTGGTTGATAGCAGTCACAGTTGTGGAACAGAGGCCGCTTGTGTCATATGTGAAGGGAATGCCTTGTAAATGAGTCAAGGTAGAGCTGTTCTGTCGATTAGAGGTCACTGGTGTTGAACCGTGAAGGGAATGCCTTGTAAACGAGTTGAGGTAGGCTGAGGTGATGGTGGGTGTCGAGAGGCTGAGATGGTAGGTCAAGCCAGGAAATGGTAATGGTCATTGAGATGTGCAGTCATGTTGAGTGGTGACAGTGAAGCTAGTAATGGTGACAGTAGTAGTGCTTTGTGTGGTGGCTGGTCCACAACTCTGTTGTCATGGTGATGAGATCATGGTGACGAGGTCATGGTGACGAGGTCATGGTGACAAGGTTATGGTGATTTTTAAGCAGGTCTGGTAGTCCCAAGGGGCGTCTCTTTTATCGGCGGGAACGTTCACAATTGGCCACTGCCAGAGTTCGTTTAATAGACTGAACGTGGTGTGTGGAGTCCAATGCACAGAATATGACTTTTGTCTTCTGCATTCAGGGCGTTCACATCCAGCCAGCATGCAGAATGAATCAGAATGAGATCTAATTGTGACAGAGTATAAAAAGACAAAAGGAAAACTTATCTTAGCCGATGTGTTTTATTCTCTGAGGGACTTTATCAAGGCAAATGCATTTACATTAATAAAGTCCCTCAGAGGACAAAATGCATTGGCTAAGATAAGTTTTCCTTTTGTCTTTATTCATATTATACTCTATCTGAAATTTTTATACCTATATACATGTCAAAAATTGTCCCATACAAAGAAATGAAAACATATAATGGCATTCAGTATGTGAATAGAACAAATAAAAAGAAGGCTTTACTTTACATGGAAATTGCTACATAATCAACCAAAGTGCAACTCAATTGTAAGCCACAACTGAACTACCCTAACAGGCTGTAACATGACCTTCAAGTGCCTCTTCATCCATATAACCCCATCAAACCTTAGAGATAACTCTAGTTACCACAACTACTAATATTGATTGTTACTGCTGCTGCTGCTGCTGATGATGATGATGATGATGGTGGTGGTGGTGGTAGTTTAAATTTATTGAATTCTTTTTTTGGAAATTTAAGGAAATATTAAGTGCAAGCACAAATTGGATAATTCTTCTCTCTATCAGGAACATTCTCAAAGAAGAAGTAGGCTACACACCAGCTGAATTTGTTTTTGGCACACCACTCTCCCTGTCAGGATAATATTTCGAGGGAAGCTCAAATCTTGATTTCAACCCCTTGTTGTACTCTGTTGGAATTTTTTAACTCAAATGCAAGTACTCACTTCGACATCCAGCAGTCATATGACAAAGACAGACCATAATTTCATCTGGCTCTGTGCACCCTCTTCCAAAATAACACCCCAAAATACCATGGTTATAAATCTGACAAATCACTAAAGTCCCATGTAGTTTTCACAGCAGCCATTTCTAAGTCACTGACTCACTTAAAACCCAATGCAGATTAAATCCAGAAAGTCAAAACTGACTTTGCTGGCATTAGGAAGAGACACCACAGCAGGCAAACTTATCCAGACCATCAACAGAAATGCATTCAGCCAGCAATATATTAATATTTCCTTAAATCCGCAGCAGCAGAAGCACAGATTAACTCTTGACTAATACAAATGTGATAATGTATGTTGATTTTCTTCACATGTCTATCTTGACTTGTGTTAGGCCTTGAATGAACTCTCAGTCTCCCACAACTGATATACAATACCCTGGAATGAGCAAATTATCGAACCTTGTAAATCATAGGGAAATAAAAGCTCTTTTACTTATTTCAACTCTGTCTTATTTGCATTTGTTGTTTTGTCACTTCAACTTTATTTCTTGTTAATAGTAAAGCTGCTGTTCTTTACTAAAACCTTTTGTCAATTAACAGACATTTGTAAATAAATTTGTCAATTTTTTATCAATAAAATTAAAAAATACTCACTTTTTTTAATGATAACCTACCATAAAAATATTCTACAGGTCAAAAAATATAGCATTTTCTAAAAATATAGCATTTTCTAAAAATATAGCATTTTCTTATTATTTGATCATAAAAATTCTCGTAAATAAGTAAACTTTAAAACTTTTAGATTGAACATTCTGTATCCTTTTATTTTGGTATGAAATTAATTTTTCCTTTTTCTGAGAAGATTTTTTTATAAAATTCTAGGCCTCCACTCAATTTGTTCGCCTAAGGACCAATAAGCCATTAAGGACAACAAAGTTGCCGTTTGAGTTAAATATGATATTCTTTAATTTTATTTTTTATTTTATTTTTATCTTGCATAAAACTTGGGAAAAGTATTTGTTTTTGATGGATTAAGTCAAATATAAGTTGGTAAGTTATATTTGTTTTATTTTTAATTTTCCGTAAGTATTTAAATCAAATCTGCCTATTTAAAAGGACAATGAAGGTTTTTGATAAAAGTTTGTTAAGAATTTTAATAAACATTTTCACTTGTTCTTGTTGCTAAATAAAACTAAAAAAGTTTGCGCATTTTTGTTTGTTTTTGTTTGTAATTTTCTCGATGTTTAAAAAACTTATTGAACTTAATTCTTCAAACATTATATTGATAAAATTTAAAACAAAATCATTAATTGAAATAAAAACTGATGTAAAAAATATTCGAAAGCCAAAATTACAAAAAAAAAAAAGTGAAAAAAGATCTCTTGATTTTTAGAAAGATTTTTGTGTAGTTTTTAAAAACATTTTTTTTTAATTACCAATGTTTTTTATTACTTTGATGTCATCAAAGTAAGTAAATTTAATTAAAAAAAATAAGGGAAGATCTAAAGTTGGTTTATTAAAAATTTAAACATTGTTAATTAGTTAAAATTTCTTTAATGATAATCGCACTTAAAAAAAATACTAAAACTAAAAAAAAAAAAACAAATCAAAAGGAAACTTTAACGGCTTTCTTAACCAAATGTAAATTAATTAAATTTTGAGTTTGCTCTGTGGCTGAGATAGTTGTACATTTCCCACCGGTTCTACTTGACTCATCGATGTTCTTTTCAACACTAGGAAGATTGGCGCAACTTAGTCTTCCTATTCGTCATTGCATTTCATTTTTTGTCTACAGCTGGCGCAGACAAAAAAAAAGTCAACCATAAAACTTCACATCAAATCTCAACGGAAAAATTGATTTCTGTAAAAAAAATTATTACAAAAAAAAAAAACAATAGATTTTTTTCTTTTATTATATTTTCTTTTCATTTCATGGATATTAAAAATAATGAAACAAAATCACTTGGTTATTGTAATACTGATTTTGGGACATGGTTCAGGCCGAGAACTTTTCAGCATCCCATTCTGACACACATCAACCTTTTAAACTTTTTAACACTGCTAAAAAGAACTATTATAGGAAGTTGTGGATAGCCACGTCTTGAAGGAACACAGCACATAGAAGAAGACAACTTGTAAGCACGTAGTGGGTTCGATCTTCGTTAGGTGGCAAAACTTTTAAAAGTCAGCAATCTCATTTGGACCAGATTATTAGTTTATTAGTAAATTAAGTTTTTGCTGTCTTTCCATGGTTTAAATCACAGCTTATTTCTTGTTCAGAAATGTTACAGAAAGACGATTTTTTCGCATTATAAAATTACAACTTTATGAAATTGATAAATAAAATAAAATTTATAAAACTACTTTCTCTCTGCGGTCGATCTCATTTTTTGTGGGGGTGTGATTAGATGGGCGTATAAACATTTTTAAAGTACTGTACCAGAAAGGATCTTTGTTTTTTATCTTTGTTTTTGTGAGTCACTCACAACAAGAAGAGGTGTGACTTTTTTTTCAATCTTTCTTTTGCCACTGTTTTAATAATAGTGGCTTACACAATGCCAGAAAAATGAAAATAAGATAATTTAATAGACTTTGTCCTTTTTTTTAGTTTAAAAAGTTTTCTCATTTTTTTTATGCACTTTTTGGTTGGATCATTGAATTAAGAATGAAATCAGTGTCTTTTCTAATGATGAAATAAAAGTATTATTTTACAGTTACACAAACATATCTTTTTCAACATAATCTCCTTCTTTGTCAGTAGACTTCACCCAGTGCTAGAACATTATATATAGTAAAATTTTCAGATTAAAATTCAGCTGACAATTGTATCAAGCTATCTCTATGATAGGTACTATGTAAACTAGTAACCCTTTTGATTACTGGGGGGGGGGAAGAGGGTCACTGTGAAGTAATTGCATCCTACGTTGCCTTAGAAATGCTGGCAGTTCAAATTCTCACCTCATTTGTTTCATTCATTTTCACACAAATGACTTTGTGAAAGTCATAAATCTGTCTTTTTTTTTTCCCCAGCTATGTGTTAAATGGCAGGATAGACTAAGTTTTCACACCTTGAGTGGTAGCCAATCTATGAGAAGGACACTTTTGGATTCAAAACCAGGGAGAATGCAATGAGAAACAACTTCACAATCATAGTCATAGTAATTCACAAATAATGAATTGAGTTGTGGAGAGAAAAACGAATTAGATACTTTTCTTATGAAATTTAATAATCTCACTCTTCTTAATCTTATTTTAATTTCTTTACAATATATTTTCCATAAAGCATCGTAAACATAAAGGTGAAAGCTAAGTACAAAAAACAAAAAAAAGTTAGAGCGCAGAAAGTTTTCCTTAAAAATAACGCGGTAAATAATTTGTTCACTTAAGTTAAAAATGATGTAAAAATAATTTCATTTTTCTGCTGTAGAACAAATTATCCTCACGGAATCTGTCAATATGTCATTCAATGTAAAAAATACCCCCAAAATACTTTGATTTTTCCTCTTAATAACATGAACATTTGTGTTATTTGAGTTAAGCATTGTTCTCTGCTGTTAAGAAGACCTTTTACTTTTGCGAAACGCGTGTGGAGAAGTTAGTTTGATTTTTCAATTTCAACTGAGAAGGGTACCTACAAGTATCAGTATCATCTTATGAAATTTATATGATCTTATTTTTATATTAATCTCAGTTATGACATTTTTCCATAAATGAGATATCAAAATTAATAATAAAATGAATGGAAATACAAATAAAACAGTAAAATGTAATAAATGTACATAAAATTATAGTATTTTATGTACACTTCTGATAAAATTTCATAAGAAAGGTACCTTTAGGTACCTCCACGAGATCGCTAAAAAAAGAGCATAGCATGAAGAAAAAGACGCTAAACTTGACGAAAACAAAATTTTATCATTAATTGTATTCTGGTTGGTCTTCCGTACTTTATAATTATAGCCCAATTATAAACACAAAATTACATTTCTTAATTACTGCGGGTCTTCTGATTAGTCAAAATGATACAATTTACAATGCGCTAAACAAAGAAAAAAAAAAGATCTATCTCGTAAGGACAATTAGGAAACCCGATGCATCTTTTAACTAATTTTATATTTTAACAACTTAAATGTAAAAATCTATTGTAATTAAAACATTACAAATAATTGTATTAAAAATTCATTTTTCATCGAAAAAAATTTTTTGCTTTCAGAAAATATTGTCCATATTCATAAAAACAACTAAAAGCAAATAAAAGCATTTGAAATTAAATATTATTACCTTTGTTTTATTGTGTTTTGTATGTTACAATTCAGAGCTGATTTTCAGATGGGGGTTCCAATTAAAAACAAAAAAAAACATGATTTGCATTCCTCAAAGCCTTGTGCTTTTAACTATAATCACTAAACCTGATGCAATCGAATTTCTAGCGTTTTCATAAAATTATTATGTGGGGTGGTAATAAATATAAAAAAAAATATTTCTGCCATGACTTTAATAAAAAAAAAAACATATTTATAATAATTTTGATCATCTGTGAATAGTTTCTGAAAGTTTCATTAACATCCAACAATTATTTTTATTTTTGCAAGATTTTCCAAATTAATGTGTGTCACACAAAAAAAATATGCTAAAAATTGTATATGTTATTTTACTAGTTCCGGTAATACAAAGAGATACAAGGTTTTTTTAATCAAAATTTAGAATGTTCTAAAAAGAAGGAAAAATTTTAAAAAATAATTAAATTAAACTTTGATCTTTCCTCTTAATAATAATATAAACATTTAGACAAAATTTTGTTTTCATCAAATTTGGTGTCTTTTTCATCATGCTATGTTCTTTTTTTAGCGATCTCATGGATGTACCTAGATAATGTTGTTGCAAATTGATCCCATGATTGAAGAAAGTATCAAATGGGCTAGACCAAATATAGCATATCTAGTAAATGAAAAACATCAACAAGAATCTCACCAAAACTTTTGTCTAGGATTCATGAAAACATTTTTTCTTGACAATTAAGATGAGGTATTATGTTATATATAAACTGCTGTAGTGAACTGTTGATATAATAATAAAAATAATAACTTTTGATACTAATCCTGAGGCTCTGGCCAGGATTTCATAGGTCTGATTGCTAAATCTGAGGTGAGGTCTGTTTTTAGTTCTGTAGTTTTGTTTCCTTTTTTTACTAACAGCATTTACACAGAGTTGCCTTGTGTTTGGTTATTTTGGACAGGACTAGCAGTTTTTCTGTGGAAAGTAAAGAGTATTTCTTTAACTTTACTGTTGTTGACACCATATTTTTCTACATTTGGGAAGCTTCAGACCATTAATAAGTGTTGCTGTTTGTTCAGATATGATACTATAATACCTGGATGTTATTAAACACAAAGTCAAGTGAACCCTAAATGATTTTATCTGAGTGTAAAGTGTCTGGTGATTTTATGACCAGCAGTAAAATCTATGAAGTAAGATCTTCAAAGCAGTCACTCAGAAGGAAATAGAGAAGATAGATAAATATAAATGTTCAGGATAAAGTACTACTTCGACAGATTCTAAGTAACACTTTCAGTTCCAATCTGTTTTAGAGAGAATATTTTTCTATCCTATAGAAAATTTAATCACTTCTTTTTCTTCAAATGGTGACACCCTCACCATGATTATCCCATTTTTTCTTTGTATAAAACAGCTACCTTGTTTTTTCTATGTTAATGTAGGTACCTCCACGAGATTGCTAAAAAAAGAGCATAGCATGATGAAAAAGACGCCAAACTTGACGAAAACAAAATTTTATCGTCTAAATGTTTGTTATTCATTAAGAGGAAAGGTCAAAGTATTTTTGGGGTATTTTTTTCAATTTTTTAATCGTAGGAATGATTAAAAAATGAAAAAATCCGAAATTTTCGTTAAAAATCTAGTTTTTTTTTTGAGTCAGCAAAATTGACCATTTTTTTCCATTTTAAAAAAACTGGAAATCTGACTTTGAAATTTTTTAAATATCAATTATCATTTTTTCAAAACTTATTTTAAGAAAATCAGAAATTATAATGTTTATTTAAAATATTTTGAACCAAACTTAACTTAGCTTTTGTGCCAAAAAAAGATGTAATTTGAAAATAAAACAAAGCAGGTCATAAACTTTCGCGTCTCTTGACATGTGATGAATAATATATTTTCACGGATTCCATGAGGCTAATTTGTTCTACGGAAGGAGAAAAGTGAAATAATTTACATTTACGTGAACAAATTATTTACCCCGTTATTTTTTAACGAAAACTTTCAGTGGTCTAATTTTTTTTTTTTTTTTTTTTTGTACTTAGCTTTCACCTTTACGTTTATGATTCTTTATGGAAAATATATTCTAAAGAAATTAAAATAAAACTGTTAAGAGTGACATTAAATTTCATATTTCTTAAGAAAGGTATCTAATTAATTTATAGGTACCTTTCTTATGAAATTTTATCAGAATTGTACATAAAATACTATAATTTTATGTACATTTATTACATTCTACTGTTATTTGTATTTGCATTCATTTTATTATATTTCATTTATGGAAAAATGTCGTAACTGAGATTAATATAAAAATAAGATCATATAAATTTCATAAGATGATACTGATACTTGTAGGTAACCTTTTCAGTTGAAATTGAAAATCAAATTAACTTCTCCACACGTGTTTACAAAAAGTAAAGGCCTTAACAGCGGAGAACAATGCTTAACTCAAATAACGCAACTTAATTATATTCTGGTTGGTCTTCCGTATTTTATAATTACAGCTCGATTATAAGCACAAAATTACATTTCTTAATTACTGGGGATCTTCTGATTAGTCAAAATGATACAATTTACAACGCACTAAAAAAATCTATCTCATAAGGACACTTATGAAAGCCTGTAGCACTTTTAACTAATTTTATAATATTTTAACAACTTAAATGTAAAATCTATTATAATTAATGAAATAACAAATAATTGTATTAAAAATTCATTTTTCATCGAAAAAATTTTTTTGCTTTCAGAAAATATTGTCCATATTCATAAAAAAACAACTAAAAGCAAATAAAAGCATTTGAAATTAAATAATATCTTTGTTTTATTGAGTTTTGTATGTTACAATTCAGAGCTGATTTTCAGGTACTGGGTATCCAATTAAAACAAGAAAAAACATGATTTGCATTCCTCAAAGCCCTGTGCTTTTAATTATTGTAATCACTAAAACCGATGTGATCAATTTCTAAGCGTTTTCATAAAATTAGTTATGGGGGGGGTAATAAATATTTTTAAAAAATATTTCTACCATGACTTTCATAAAAAAAAACATATTTATAATAATTTCGATCATCTGTGAATAGTTCCTGAAAGTTTCATTAACATCCGATAATTATTTCTATTTTTAAACGATTTTTCAAATTAATGTGTCATACCAAAAAACGTGCTAAAAATTGTCTATGTTATTTACTAGTTCCGCTGATACAAATAGAAACAAGGTTTTTTTAATCAAAATTTAGAATTTTCTAAAAAGAAGGAAAATTTTTTAAAAATAATTAAAAAAAACTTTGGTCTTTCCTCTAAATAATAACATAAGCATTTAGACAATAAAATTTTGTTTTCGGCAAGGTTGGCGTCTTTTTCATCAAGCTATGCTCTTTTTTTAGCGATTTCGTGGAGGTACCTATGTTAATGTAATAATGAATTTTTTAAACACTTTTTTCCCTCTATTTCTGTCTAAATAATTTTAACATTTTCAATGATGAGAGATACAAATATGTTCTCTCCACTTTGGTAACACAGATAAATATGTTTTCTTTCATCAGAGATTTGAAGTTTTCATCAAACTGTTTGCCATTCTACACTTTGCTCAAATGAATTGCAGAGAAGAGTTTATGAACTGCTTGATCATCCAAGGAAACATCCCATGTTAGCGATTCTCTGTTTACTTTATCACTCTCCTTCTTCTTGGGGCTGTCACATATTAGATAAAATTTCTAACAATATAGAAATGGCTCTCTTTAAATTTTAAATGGCTCTTTCTGTTTGGTGATTATAATGTTTGTAACATCAAGTGACTTAATCATTCTGATGTTACTGATGTTGCCAGTTTTCAGACTTTCAATTTTTCCATTGCTCAGTTTCTTAGTGAAATAGTGGATTTCCCTGTTTGCTTCCCTAATAAATCTGATTAATATTCTTCTTTACTTGATTGTTCCTTATCTCCTAGCTTTTCTGGAGCATCCAAAATTTTTCCTCTTGGTAATTTGGATCATGCTGTAGTATCCTCTGATATTTCTTTTGAGTCATCTATTAGACAGAAACCAGAAACCTTCTTTCTGTTACCATACTGATTGGGATTCATTTTGTGACTTTGTTCAAGACACCCCTTGGATTGATATTCTTAACCTTCCTATTGAGAAATGTCCCACAAATTTCTTCTTGGGTTAAAGCTGGCATCAATGCTTTTGTACCTTTTTAGAAATACCAGGTGAAACCACAATTTTCTCCTTGGTTCACATTAGCCTGTTCAGCTGCTATAGCCCACAGGAATCACTTTTTCTGACTGTATCAGTATGATAGTTCTGAACACAACAGACACCTCTTTTTGTTTGCTCATAATAATTGTAAACATGTCCTCATAGAGGCTTAGTTTATGTTTGCTGAGGCACCATATAGCTTCAAGTTTGGTTCTCATGACTACTAGTGACTCTGTAATAGTGTCTTAAATAAAAGAGTAAGTCTGCTATTCTTCTTCTCTTCATTTAGTGTGAGGTGTTAACATCTACTGCTGATAAAGCAGAATGTTTTGCTGATAAATTCTCTCCAGACTCTACTTTTGACGCATCTGGAATACCTTGCCTGATTTTCCACTTAGAACTGAGTCTCTATTGAGCGATATGCATATAACTTCATCCATGGTTTCTGCAATCATCTCTATGTTAGATCCTCTCATAGCATATAGACTTGATTGTATCCCTGCAATAGTCCTTAAGAAATGTGCTCCTGAACTGGCTTCTATTCTCTCTAAGCTTTACAACAAATGCTTTATGTTTCTTGCTTTCCTGCTTGTTGGAATAGGCCAATAATTAAAAGGATCAAATGGTTCAACTTAGTTCCTGTCTTTTAAGAACTAAGTTGAACCATTTGATCCTTTTAATTATTGGCCTATTAGTCTTTTACCTCTTTTTGCCAAAGTACTAAAGCCTCTAATCAACTCTGAATTGGGTAAGCATCTCGCCTCACAGATAAACAATATGGCATCTCACCTTTCAGATAAGCAATACACTTCTCTAGGTCAACTGTTGATGTATTAACGATTATATTGCTGAAAGAGTCTATCAAGCTTTAGATAAGAATGGTGATACTCAGGCTGTTGCTTTAGATAACTCAAAGACATTCTTCATAAGTTGAAAGGTTATGGTATTTCTGGCTGAATTTTTGAACTAATTCAGTCTTATCAAATCTCAAAATGAAAGTTGTTTTGAACTGCCACTCTTCTAGATCTTTTTGCATTAATGCAGGTCACCCCTATGGATCTATCCTTGAACCTTGAATGTTGTTTCTCAACGACTTTCCTGATTTCATCAGTTCTCAACTCTGTACCTATGCTGATGACACAACTCTTTACCCCTGTCTTAATAGTAAATCTGATAGGTTCAATAAGGTCAAATTGGTGGCTGATGTAAAAAATGACATACAATCTGTTAACTGGGACAACGAATGGCTTGTTAATTTTGACCCCCGCTCCAAATGAAACTGCTCTCTTCTCATTGCATGAAAGAACCCCCTTTTTCCATTAATATGGCTAATGCTAACCTCCAGGAGAGTAACTCTTTGTGCTGTCTCAAGCTAATGTTTTCTGCTGACAGCAATATTTGTTCACTGTGTTATACTAGCTGATTTTTTTCTTGCTAGAATCAATCTTACATATTTATTTAAGTTTTCCATTTGTCCATACTTTGAATAGTGCTCCTGCTATATATTTAGAGATCCTTGATAAAATCCATAGAAGAATCTGCAATGTTATTAGTCCTGACCTGGCACATATATATATATATATATATATATATATATATATAACCAGAGATAAATTGAAATATTTTTCTTTTCTTTTTCAGTTTCCTGAAGCAAAGCAAAATGGCTGAAAATAAACCATCATCAAGTAAATCACATACAAACTTGATAAAAAATTTAGATTTTCTTAAAAAATGCAGTTTTGATGTAAAATTTGATCTAGAAGGGACAGGTTACACAGCAGTGGAAAAAATTGGAATTGGGGCATATGGAGTCGTCTGTTCTGCTCTTCACAATCAAAGTGGCAAAAAAGTTGCCATTAAAAAGATAACAGGAGTATTTGATGCCCCGACAATCACAAAACGAACTTTCCGAGAGATCAAAATCCTGAAACATTTTAAACATGACAATATAATTTCTATTCGGGAAATTTTGAAACCTCGAGAAGGTCCGACAGATTTCCAAGACATTTATGTCGTTCTTGACTTGATGGAAAGTGATTTGCACCAGATTATCTATTCAAAGCAACCATTAACTGAGGAACATATTCGGTATTTCCTCTACCAAATTCTTCGAGGACTTAAATATATTCATTCTGCTAATGTTATTCATCGGGATCTGAAGCCAAAAAATCTGCTTGTACGTGAGAACTGCCATTTAAGGATTGGAGATTTTGGTTAGTATATTTCTCTTCCTTTGTTTTCTTTTTTTTTTTTAATGAAATTATTTTTTAAATTTACATTCTAAGATTTATTAATTTATCTTATTAATTAGTTCAACATTATACTAATTTCCCTGTGAAATCAGTTTATAAGTGACTAATGTATATTAGTCATATTATGTAATGAAGTAGGTATGCCAATTAAGTAATAAGATTCTTGTTCTCACATTTGCAATAATGGAAGTACAGGATGCAATGGATTTTATTTGTTTGTCTAAATTATGCAGAAAATGAAAACAACACTGACATCTCATTTTAACAGACATATTTACCAAAATTACACAAAAATATCTTGAAATAATAAAGAGTAAATTTATTCAATAAAATCACCATTGGCTTCGTTCACAGGCTCCAGACAACTTTGGAATCTCCTGAAACTCTTCTGGACTGTTCGTAAATGCTGCCATAATCCTTGCCTTCAGTTACAAGAAGTTTTGTTGGTCTCTCACTCAATTGCGCCCCACAGATAATAATCAAGGGAGCTGCAGTTAGGTGACCAGATGTAAAGGGGTGATGTGGTTGCAGAAATTGTCTGACTGCCGTGACTGGATTCTCTTGCTTGTGTAGCATGGTGCAGAGTCTGATGATTGCAAGTAGCATGAAACCCAGGGTCACAAACTCACATCAATCCAACTAAAAAATATATTAAAATATTAAAAAGATGTTCTAAATATAAAGCAGGTAAAAAATTCTGTAAACTATGTATAGAGGAAAAATTAGCCATAGAAGGAACCTAAAGATTTATTAAATTCAAAAACAGAGATTCTAAACAAATGCAGACATAGAAGATCTTGGTTATTGGATTACCCGTTTTTGCCCGTGTTTGTCTCTAAATCACCCCCTCCCTTTTAAGCCATTTCAAATAAATTTTTTCTCCACCCTCCCAATTGTTGTCATTGTGTTTTTTTACGTTTTAGTCACGTGGTCTTGGTCTTTTTTTTATCGCCTATAAGTATATAGTTTTCTTTACCTCTTTAGCCAGCTTTCCCTGACGATCCGCTTAGGTGAAACCTTGGCTCTCTAGGTTTGACTATATATATATATATATATATATATATATATATGCCCATGATGAAGGGGAGAAGGAAAGAGATAAAGAAGGGAAAAAAATGTTTTTGTTAGTATAACCATTCTTACCCAGGCTTGAAATTTGCTGAGAGAAACTTTCTAACTTACTTGCATTTTATTACCTACAATTTTTCAATTAGCAGCATTTCTTAGTCAGAATATTGCCAACTCCTCCTCCTGGCACAACTTGCACATTTTGTTTCCAATGCACCAGTTTTCCTCACCACATCCAATTTCACAATTGAACTCTTTTTATTTTTATTTTTCATTCCCAGTTTTTATACATTTCTAATTTGAAGGATAATGTATGGTTGTAACACCTTGCTTTTAAAAAATGTAAAAGGGGCTTCTATCGATCCAATATACACTTTTTCATAACTATTTTGTTGTTCAACCCTTGCTTTATAAACAAGAGTCCCTCAACCAGGGAGTTACGATTTAACAGACAATATACAGCATTTCAGTAGTACATTTTTCTCAGATGCTTTTCTTTCTACAGTCGCTCACTTCATACCCAATTTTTTATCATTGGGCCCGTTTATTTTCTCCATGTTTTTCATGCAACTGTGTTTTTACAGTGTTTTTATTAAAAACATTTGGAATTTTAGAATAGATTTTTTATCAATCCAACAGATTTTTATCACTTTAAACATCTTTTTTAGTGGATATTTGAGTAGGCACCCTGTTTATTTATTAAACAGTATGTTTATTTATTTTCATCTACTGGCCTGAATGTTTGAGAAATCTTATTACAGAAAAATTTGTCCTCTCTGGCAGGAAGCAAACCTTTGGGCAGTGGGAGGTATCATTTAACCTGACACACCTTACCGACTTTTTCTTTAAGAAGATTTTTCAAACATTCAGGCCAGTAAATGAAAATAAATAAATACACTGCTTAATAAATAGAGTACTTACTTAAATACAAGTATTCACTAAAACAAAGTGATGTTAAAAACCTTCTATAACTGGAGCTTTTGGGAAAATGCTGATTTAACAATATAAAGAAGGTCCTTACAATCTTCATTTTCACCTCTAAATTGATAGGGGAAGTATTAAAGAAAACTATATTTCTTTCCCTTTTTCTTTTTTGGCAATCCTTTTCTGATGTTACAACTGATTTGAACACCAATTTGATCTTATACCTGTTTGACCTCTGTAAATGTTCAGCAGGTGTTGATGAATGTCAGTGGGTGCAACTTAATTTGTATGGATGAATTCAATGACACAACTCTGCTTTGTAGAAACGTTTATGTCACATGCTTTTAGCAAGGTAAAATAAAAAACCTATTGTCATATTAACATCCATAGCTAATGTTATAGCTAACATTTCTTTCAGAGCAACTTTCATAAATAAATATATTTCTCCGATTTATAGGATCTACTTACAAAAATATCAAAATCCTACAATGACATTATTGGTCAATGACACAAAAAACTCCCAGCTGTCTAGTTAGAGAGGATCTAATTAGTTATAGTGGGCAATCATCTCCCCAAAATAGGTTTTCATAGGTCAGTAAATTCTTTTTTTCTATATACTTTCATATACTTTTTTACTTTAGGTATGGCACGAGGAATATCTTCTTCCCAGTCTGACAATGAGAATTGTTTTCTGACACTGTATGTAGCCACTCGATGGTATCGGGCACCTGAGATTATGTTTTCTCTATTGGATTACAGTAGTGCAATGGACATGTGGTCAGTTGGGTGCATCTTTGCAGAAATGTTGGGACGCAAACATTTGTTTCCAGGTCAGTCTTATATTTCTACTTGACTGTTTCGTTTCATTATTGACCATTGAATATAAAGTGTAGAAAGTTAACAGTAAAAGAAATTTTAATTTTGATAGCTATTTGTTAAAATGTTGACAAAACAATTATTTTTTAAATCTTTTATAAGATTTTTTATTGGCTTGTTATTAGAACAAAGGCTTCCAAAATAATCTTTAGTAGATTTGTTATGAATTATCTTTCAGTGCCATTAGTTAGGATTTCAAATGCTGTTTTTCAGGGAAGAAACTTTGAAACTTTCACCACTTTGAACATGGACATCACACAACTACCTTTAATTTATTCCTCTTTAGCCTTGTCTCATAGGAAACTTAGTAAATATCAAATACTTTGTTAATCATAAATATTATTAGCAGCTGGATGCTTTTAAAACAAATATTTATTTTTTTCAATTATTTTCCAGGGAAATATTATATCGAACAAGCCCAATTAATTATTGATGTTCTTGGCTCACCATCTGAAAAATTTCTTTCTGCTTGTAAATCTGACATTATAAAGACATTCATCAAACGTAAGTTAAATTTCTAAATTTGTGTGTTTATACATTTGCAGTAACAACAAAGTCTTTCAGTTTCATGTTGCTATAAGCAAGCGAAGAAATTTAGTCAAAAATTAATAGTGAGAATATTTTATCTCAATCCAAATAAGATTAAAATATCAGTCAGGTAATGACTATGGCATTAGACATGGTTTAGGGAATAAAGCATCATCACAAACCTAAGAGAAAACCGATTATACCATTAGACTAGGTCCATTGACTTTCAGTTGTATGGCTTAAAATGTGATTGCCCCAATCAGTTAGATGCAAAATCTGGCTTGCTTTGGAGTTTCAGAAGATTTTTCATTTTACTCAAGATTCTTCAGAATTTAAAATCTTTTGAAAACTGAAATAGCTACACAAGCATGATTTTCAGTCTGAACCAGTAATATATTATACCAAAAACCATTTCTTTTACAATCAAACATAGATGTAACCCAACAGTTCATGGAATTTGACCATGAAAGATAAAATAACTTCCCTTCATTTTAGTTTCTTCTATCTCATTTGAAGGAACTTATTTGCAAATGTTTACAGTGATATCACAAATGGTAACAGCAAAAAGTCATTTAGTTTGCATGCAATGTTTAAGCTCTCCCAACTTTTTGATAGCACCTATAAGTCCATACAACTACTGCAAGGAAAATCTCTTCAACGAACCATTCAGATGATGATGATGAAGATCAGAACATTGCTTCACAACATCATTACAACTAATTCAGAACACTTTGCCTATACCTTATGATATCACCATGCTTTTATACTCTACATCACAATGTGAGAAATGCCCTGTTGGCTGGGGTTTCAGAAAATGCCAATTGCACCTCTTATGACAAGTAAAAAATGAGGCCACCTGTTTCCTGTGGGTGGCAACCTGTCATATCTGGGCTTCAGGAATCAGGGTTAGTCACTTCTGATTCCCAACACACCACTTTGACCCTTACTTGGACTAGATGAGTGGTCAGAGAGGCCCATTTCGATCAATCGGCTGGATATGTCGAGCCTTAGCACCTATAACTATATCAATTTCTGGAGCACTTTATAACAAAATACCCCAAATATACACTGGGATAAAATACAATCTCTATTCAATTTATAAGTGTTAAAAGGTGATGGCTGAGGGTCACTCGGTTCGAAGAGACCTTGACCATGGCTGTAAGCATACCAGTTTGTACACTTAAGATTTGGGAAATGAAATAAATGGTTTAATGGGTGGTCAGACTCTGTCTTAAATATGAGTATATTGGTTTCTGTAGGTCTGACCTGTCAAGGTGACTGAGTTTCCCCATTGACACATCTCACTGTCAGGCCCTGAGGTGGGTGGAGAGCACAAGTAGTGAATATCAAAATTATGAATCACCAAAACAAAAAACCCAAAAGATATCTTTCAGATTCTGATCCTGAAAAATAAGTATTGACTTTCCAAGATTTCTCATGCTCGTATCCCTAAATGAAACTCTTTTAGTAAAACTTTCCCCTTTCTTAATTGAAAAAGTGTTATTGAGTAGGATTAACCTCAAAACGTCAATTTGCTAGTAGAAGTGGAAAATAGGAAACATGCCGAAAGTTTAATCAAGGTGAAAACTTTTCATAATCTCAAAATTAAAACCTTCTCTCATGAAAGAATGAACACTTCTAAGGGAGTCATTAGAAGCAGAGAGTTGTCTCTTGCCTCACCTGAGGAAATCAAATCTTCCTTAGGAAGCCAGGGAGTAAGTGATTATTGTAGAATTACAATAAAAAGGAAGGAGAAACCATAACAACAGACACGTATATCCTTACTTTTGAGCCAGTGGAACAATATATTCCTGCTCCACTAAGGTGCTTCAAGTGCCAAAAATTTGGACATCATAGGAATAGCTACAGGAGTCACCCAATATGTGGAAAATGTAGCCAAAGGGATTCAGACAAACGAAGAATGCCACTATGAAGTAATATATGCTAACTACCAGGAAAACTATCCAGCATACTCACAATCATGTGATTTCTGCAAAAGGGAAAAGGAGACCATCAAGGTGAAACATAAATGAAATGTCTCATTCATAAAAGCAAGGCAGATAGTAGAAAGCTACATGAAAGTCCCTTCCTATGCAAAAATAAGGCAAAAAATGACCACAACAAATACCAGTGTACCTGAGAAATAAAGAGACATCATTGAGAAGATTCTACACTTAGGACTAAATGACTGGCCCAAATTTCAAAACTACTTAAAAGATATATACTTCAAGGAAATAGTATAAACTGAACCACAATAGAAAGCTAATGAAAGAATTGAAATAATAAATAAAGAAAAAATAAATAAAAATCTATCAATCAAACACAAACAACTTCCCTAAAAAATGCAAAATCTCCCACAAAGCAAAGGTCACAGCAATCTTTGGTAGATGGATAGGAGATTGCTGTGACCATTAAAGACAGACTTAAGAACTTATCTCCCAAAAAAAAAAACAGAACCAACCAAACAAAAACCAAAAATTCACAGTGACCAAATTCTTAACCAAAACTGATTTAACAAACTGGAAGAAATGGAGATGGAAAGCCAGAACCCAGAAATGGCTAAAACCTCCAAAACTCAAAACCTCAGAAAACACAACCACATACTAAGCTAAAGACTAAACAAATCTTTCTAAAGCCTTTACAAATCATGTATCAAATAATTCAATGGAACTGCTGTGGAATAAAGGCAAACATAAATGAACTGCTTCTGCTAATAACAAACCTGTCACAGGTAGTTATTTGGCTTCAAGAAACATTCCTTAAGCAAAATGACAACCTGAATATAAAAGAATGCCATCAATACAATTACACACATGACACGGGGCTTCAAGTGTCAGGTGGTACATCCGTTCTAGTTAGGAATGATGTACCTCAAAGTAAAATAAATTTAACAACTACTTTACCGGTGACTGCTGTTAAAGTGACCCTTCCACATGACAATAAACATCTGCTCAGTATATATGAATGAACGAGTAAATGAAACTGAAATTCCAGAAATCATAAGATAACTCCCTGCACCCTTTAATGATACTAGGGGATTTTAACTGTCACAGCACTATATAGAGTTATAAAGACACAAACCAAAATGGAAGGACCTTAGAAACAATAATTAGCAGAAACGATTTATTCATTTATAATGATAAAACACAGACTTACATAAATTCATTTACTGGGAGCTACTTGGCAATAGACATTCCTATGTGATCCATCAGTTAATATGGATTTCTCTCAGAGAGTACTGGCAGACACATGTGGTAGCGATCACTTGCCAATCATCCTACAAAACTCAGAACATAATGATAAAAATCCTCTTCTTTGGAAATTAGGTGGTGCAAACTGGGAAAAATTTGAAACCCAATGTTCTGAAAAATTAGTTAAAGGAAAAAGCATCAAGGACTTAAAATATTTCATGGAAATTCTCATTGAAATCCTATAGCTAAAAATGCATTCCAAAAAATTCCACACAAAAAAACACAACAGATCTTGTAAAAAATGTAAAAAAATCCATCAGGCTAAGAAGAGCAGCTCTGAGAGAATTCAACAAACAACCTACAACTTCTAATTTGCTGCAATTTAAGCAACTCCAAGCAAAGGCATGGAAAATAAAGAAACCAAAAAAGAATGCTGGAAAAATTACGTCAACAAACTCAATTCTGCTACAAAAACAAAATCTGTCTGGAATATGATAAAGAAAATAGCAGGCACACACCTCCTGATAAATAACTTTAAAATAACCAGTAAAAAAAGATGTTGCTGACCAACTAACCAATACTATCTCTAAAAATCCATTCCTCACCACATCAGAATGGAAGGTAACTATAAATCAGACCTAGCAGCCAAATCAGCTTTAGATATGGATTGTAGACTCAAGGACCTAAATCCCATACACCAACTTTAAGGAGGTCATTACCAAATATATTCAAGAGGAATAGCAACAGTGCTGGGATGATAATCCACACAATAAACTCTTTGCAATTCAGCCCAAACTAGGAGAAAGGAAGTCAGCTTTCAGAAACCATTGAAAGAAAGTAGTAGTACTAGCCCACTTATGCATTGGCTACACAAGAATCGTACTTTCTAAACAAGGAAGATCAACCAATATGCCAAGCATTGGAAATGGCATACACAATTAAACATATATTAATTGAATGTTCAGACCTTGCTCTTTCAAGACAAAATATAAAAACATGTATGAGCTCTTCTTTGTCGCCATATTGTACGCTCCGGCCTTCTTCAAGTGGTTGGAAGTTCGAACTAAACCCTTTATAAATTCATACCCAGATGTCCTCAAGGACACGTGGCACAATGGATAAAGGTGTTGGTTAGATCCAGTGACAGAACCCAAAGAGTGTAAGTTCAATACGGCAGTGGAGAACTTTCAGAAGGAAATCAACAGGAGATAACTGATAACTGACATCCATCAAACATGGCACATGGAACTAGAACAGTCTACCCCAGTGAGCGAAATAAAGGGTTTGCTAAATACAAAAAGCCTAAATCTGAACAAAATATTACTTATTTTCATTATTCTTAATAACTTTCAAGGAAATATAGCTTATTTTCATATTTCTGAAGAAAAAATAGCTATTTTCATATTTTTTAATAAAAAAGCATCAATGGGAAGAAAATGTAGCTTATTTTCATATTTCTTAAATAAGAAGCATAAATTTGAAATATTATTATTTTCTTAAAAAAAAAGACAAAGAAAGATGGGCTTCATCAAGCTAATTTGCCCTAGATACACCCACTGCTGCTATAGCTGCAGTACATGTGTTCTTACAATCCTTATGAGTCAGATATCTTGTGATCACCATAATCTATTATCAATATTTTTTTATCTGATAAAATCTCTTAATTGCTTTTGATTTATTAGGATCTCTTATTAATATTTTTTTAGGACTTCAAAAATTGTGTTCAATTTGAATTATTAAATTTCTTATTTGATTTTTTGTTGATATTCTTTATTATTAGAATTGTATAAATGTGCCTCAATACCAAATCTTTAATTAGATTTTATCTCTTATTAATATTATTTCTTTGATAGGATTTATATTTTTATTAGAATTACAAAAATTTATTTAAATGTTAAATACATTTGATGCTATTATTTTTTTATTTGATATCATTGATATTGTTTCATTTCATATTAACTCGTATTAATATATTTGTTTAAATTTTTATTTTTATGTTTCATAGTATGTTGTAATAATAGTGTTTTTTTAAATTCAAATTACAAAAAGTGTTTGTATCTTAATTTTTTTATTTTGTAATTTTGGTGAAAACAAAAATCAATTTTTAAAATATAAAACAATGTTTTTGTATAACACTTTGTATAACCGAAATGCCTTATTTCATTTAGAAAAATAAATTGTTCTTTCTAATGTTTAAAATAAAAAAAAATTCTTTAACTTTTTTCAATGTCATAACTTAGGTGACATTTTCTACTCAGATACTGTAGGCTATAATCTGCACTTTAATGATGAGATTTTCCCATTTCTAGAAATGGAGAAGAAAAATCCAGTTCCCTGGTCAACTCTCTATCCTAAAGCAAGTCGAAGAGCACTTGATTTGCTTGGCAAAATGTTGGTCTTGAATCCATCCGATCGTGTGACTGTTGAACAAGCCTTGAGGCATCCCTACTTCACTGGTTACCATGATCAAGATGATGAACCAATTTGTGTTCCTGCATTTAATTTTGATTTTGAAAAACAAGTAAGTAAAATCTTAGATTTTTAATTTTTTAGCTATTAAACTATGTAATGCTGATGGAAAATAAAACTGCAACACTGTGAAGGATGATACAGATTTTTGGCTTGGGTACATTATATGCATGAAGGGCAGATTTAGATATTCTGATAAAATTCCAGTATGCATTCAATCAAAACAAACCCAACCCTTGCCATCATGATATGGATAAAATCACAATTCTTACTCACCTTTGGTGTTGAAAAACATAATTTACATTCAGCACATTGTTCAATTTGTTATGCTGCCATTCTTACTACTCTTCCAGCAGGATATTGTTTACACTACTCAACATTCTTTGCAAGATGTTCAATAACTTTCCTGATATGCATGATTGCCAGACCTGTTTCCAATTGAACACGTATGAGGCATGACGGAACATCACCTGACTCATTCACTTAACCCACCTACAACATTGACTATATTGTGTCAATCGGTGCAAAATGTGTGGAATAAGGTATTGCAGAATAGTATTCATTGTTTGTATGAACATATTCATATAAAAGTACAGGCCTCTGTTAACACCCAAGGACAATATACCAGGTATTAATATGGGGTCTAAGTACTGTTGATATTTTGGAACCTGTGCATATATTGATCTGTATAGATAACTATTAATTTTAATCTACCTGTGCTTATAATATTGATTAAAATTCCAATGCATATTCAAGATGTTGCAAGTTTTTATCAGTTATGCCATTGTAATTAATTTACAACATTTTGAGTCTGTTTATTCATAAAATATGTAAAAGGGATTTAAAGAAAGAAAACAAGCCTTTGAGACCAAATTTATACAATTTGAGTTGAAAGGATTAGTTGTATTTTCTGAATGTTTGCAAAATTATTGAGGTTGCAATTTGCCATACTGACCTTTGCCTTCATACAACACAAATTGACTGTTTCTATAGTGATTAAGAATGCATGAAAGTTAAGGCATATTTTGGTCATTCACACTAATAAAACTTAACAGAAAGAATACATTGTGAATTTTACCTTTCTCTTTTGTGTTCTTGTTGTTGAAGACTGGTGTTGTTGTCCTCAGCAACTCTCTTTGCTATACAGTCTCAAATTGACATTTCATTATTTCTCTCATACCAGCATTTCAGAACTTTATATACTTTTCAACTTTCAATATTATGTTATCTATTTACATAAATAAATATTTATATAAATTTATGTAGATTTCATATTATTTGCTTAAGTGCTGACATTGTCAGTTTCTACTTGATATCAATTTGCTTCCTATTTATAGAATTTATATTTTCAAATGGTAATCATCATTAAGCTTAATTCTTCTTATTAAAATATTGTCACTGGTATGTCATGATGCTTGACAGAGAAGAATACAGATGAATCTGTAATTAGCAGTTACCTACCTTGAACAGATTTTTGTTTTGCAGTGGTGGTGTATCACTTAATTAAAAATTACTTGGAAACTAATTGCTTGATTGAACTGGAAATTGCTTTATTCTCCAATTTAGTGCAGTTTAATAGTATTGTGTTAACACAAATTGCACTACAATGTGCCATTTTTGCTGTGTTATACAGAAATTGTTTATTTGATTGATTTGTTTTCTGCAGCTTATTGACCTCTTGCAGGTTATTTAAAGCCAGAAAATATTTTTTAGATAGTAAGAATTTTTTTGTAGGGAGGGGGAGATGATAATGATTTAACAAAGCATGTCTTACTAATTAATTCATAGCTGAGGGAGAAGAGGTGCATTTCCAGGGGTATTTGCACATGAGTGAATATAACAAACCAAACACAGCTCTCTGGTTAACCACGCCGAGCTATTATCCACTACACCACCTGCACATACAAGATTACAGCACCTGGTATTCCCAAGCAGTCATCCATGTAGGTACTAACCAGGCTTGATGTTGCTTAACTTTGGCGATCATATGGGAACCAGTGTTTCAACATAATGTAGTCGTATGACTAAAGAAATTGAATTACTATAATATGATAATTTATGTTTTAGATTGACAAAGAACTAAACTTGACTTTCTTTTTTGTCTGAAGTATTTCTGTCTTTTCTCTTTTCAAAGGACACAACAGTTGCTCAGTTCCGAGAAGCTATTTATGATGAAATAATTGAGTTCCATGAACAAAAAAATCCTGTACTTAACTTCAACCCAGTGCTGCGTCCAGCTCCAAAAACAAATGAAAATGTAAAAAATTCACTTGGTGATTCATCTTCTTTGAGACCCTCTTCACTTAGCAGCTCTCTTGAAATAACTGAACAAGGTGCTGCTTTGCAAGCTTATGTCAAGCAATTACGTGAAAGATTCAAGTCATCATCAACTGCTGACAAGATCAAACATTCTTTACAAGCAGGAGGGAAAGAGAACCAGCAATTGTCTATAACTTGTCATTATTTGTCTAAGGAGTCAGTCTCTGATTCAACAAGCAATTCCACTTCAGGTAAAAGTTCAATATCCTGCAAAAGCCTACTGTCTGTTTCTACATTATCTGATGATGTGGAAATGCTCAGTGCTAAATCAACTGAATTAAAAATGGATTCTACTTCCTCATTGCCAAAAACTCCAGCATCTCAAACTCAGGATTCCCAGGGTTCTGGATCTGATAACCAGACAATTTCTGCTGATACCAAAGAACTTATTAAAGCTGCTCTGAGAAATGCAACACTAAAGAAACGAGGAGGTAAGTGGATGTCCTCATCTACCAATATTTATTCTATTTGCTGTATATGACAGTTATTCTATTTGCCATATATGACATTTATTTTATTTGCTATATATACATTTACTTTATTTACAATATGCAGCCCAGTTAGTTGGGGCTTAGAATGTGCTTACCAAATGGGGTCTTCACTGGTTTGTTGTGAGTGGTGACTCTTGATGCTTGAGAGTTATTGAATCAACTCTATGACAATCCAATTTGATTAATCAAAAACTAGGTTTTTATAACATCAAATTTTCTAGCTAAGATATTAAATATTTGAAGAAAATAATATTAAACTATATACTAGTTAAACATCTTAGATTTTGATTAAGTTTTATACTTTCCTTAACACCTCAATAATTTGCAATCATAAATTATATTATAAATTATAAGTATTCATTATCTTATTTGGATGTATGTGCTTTATTTTTCTATATCAAGTCAACACATTTACAACTTAACATATTTCCTATGTACAAATCTCATTGTTTTGTTCATGAATATTTATTTTTAAATTTTATCAACTCTTAAAATTTTTCAAATTGATCACAGCATTTTTAAGTAGCAGGGTTACTATGGTGACAATTTCTTTCCTGAAGTTTTTTAGTTTAGATAATGCTCACAGAAAACAGTGAAATGTCAGCAATAAAATGAAAATTTTCAATATCCAACTGACTTTTGTGTATTTCATATATATATATATATATATATATATATATATATATATATATAGTAAACACTATATTTATGCAGAAATGTTTCATTTAAACATGTTGTGTTACAAAAAACTGACAAGGAATATCTGTTAAGTCTATTGGTGAGTTATCTTTTGTTGTGTGATGAATGGAAGTCATTCACATGAAAAAACTACAACTCCCTATCAATAAAATTTGTTTCAATGTAGATGTGCACTTGTTAAAATGCCTATGAATTGTAAGGTCATTTTAGCAGATGCATAACAATAAAGTCCATTCTACAGTCATAACATGTGAACCTACATTCATTTCAAAATTTTCACTTTTAACAACATAAATCCCATAATGGTTATCTCTTGATTTCTACTTTCTTTTCCTGAAAATGACCAGCAGGGGTCAAAAGTTCTTGAAACATAATTGCACTTCACATCAAATAACTTATTCAACACCAAGAGAATTTCACCACAAAGCTTATGAGATATTCCCTGTTCTACTGAATAATAATAATAATAATAGTTTTTTGCTATATTTATGAGAAAAGAGTGATCAATATCAGAGTTATTTATAGATGTAAACAGTGTGGACAGATAAATCAACACTGCATGGTCACTGTCAATTTTAAGCTGTAAGCTACCATTAGGCCATGAAAGTACCGCTTACTATGCAGTGTTGATTTCTATGTCTACACTGTATCATTCTTTTGTGGTTAAGTTATTTCTGTTGATTATGCCTTAAGAATTAGATTGTTGATGTAATAATTTGAGTTTTGTTTGTATCTTTCAGAAAATGAAGTGAAAGATGATGGAAGGCCTCGTCCAGTCACTGCAGCTCAGCGTCAGCGCGAACGTGAAGATAAGCGACGTAAAAGAAGAGAGCGAGCCTTAAAACGAATGAAAGACAAAAAAGGTTGGTATTCAAGATTTAAAATAAATTTCACAAATAATTTCTAATCTAGGATTATAAAAATCTGGGTCTTGGGTATGACCTAAAACTACATCCAACAATGGAGTCACAAGTAGGTGACAGAATTTGGGTACCCCGATCAATTCTTACTACAGGTGATCTGTTTGCCCCCTTAGTAAGGTTATATTTTTATTTATTTTTTTTTTTTTAGTTGATGTTATTAGTTATTATCACAGCATTTTTGCCATTATGTCCCCAGGTTTTCTTCAGGTGTCTGTCAATCTTGGTAACCTTCAGAAAATTTCAAATTGAACCCTTTATTTAATCTGCAGGATAGATTGTTCCCATTTCTAGGGAAACCTCATTTTCTTCACATTTTAGTACTGCTCAGTTATTGCTTGCATTGTTTCCACTAAGTCTCTAAAATTTGGGGATATAGTAATTATGAGTTCTTTCCCTAGGCTAGGTAGTACAGACTTAGGCTCATTGGAAACAGGACTGGGAATAACTAAATAAGAACAAGATGCTCCTAGACATGGACAGGTGAATGAGCACAATCTACACCCATAGATTAAATAAAAAGTTCAGTTTGAAATCACCTGAAAGTTATCTGGATCAACAAACACTTGAAGGAGGCCAACAGAGACAGTGATAATAACAAAAAACATTAGGACATTAGACTGACTGTAAATAATGTAAATTTGTAATATTGCAGGCAAATGTAGAAAAATATAAAATTATATTAAAGACAGACTGAAAGAATATGAAAATTTGTGACATATAAGAGTAGAAAATAATCGGCTATGGTGGATCATATCTGAGGGGAAAAGGCACACATTTTACTTTGTAGAATGAATACAGAGATTATTCAGTATACTGCTGCAGAGTGATAAACATAAGCAGCATATTGACAGAGAGTACCTGATGCAGAGAGATAAAATTAGGCTGCATATTGACAGAGAGTACCTGATGCAGAGAGATAAAATTAGGCTGCATATTGACAGTACTGCTGCAGAGTGATAAAATTAGGCTTCATATTGACAGAGAGTACTGATGCAGAGTGATAAAATTAGGCTGCATATTGACAGAGAGTACTTGATGCAGAGTGATAAAATTAGGCTGCATATTGACAGAGAGTAATTGATGCAGAGTGATAAACTTAGGCTACATATTGACAGAGAGTACTGCTGCAGAGTGATAAAATTAGGCTGCATATTGACAGAGAGTAATTGATGCAGAGTGATAAACTTAGGCTACATATTGACAGAGAGTACTGCTGCAGAGTGATAAACTTAGGCTACATATTGACAGAAAGTACTGCTGCAGAGTGATAAACTTAGGCTACATATTGACAGAGAGTACTGCTGCAGAGTGATAAACTTAGGCTACATATTGACAGAGAGTACTGCTGCAGAGTGATAAAATTGGGCTGCATATTAACAGTGAGTACCTGATGCATAGTGATAAAATTGGGCTGCATATTGACAGAGAGTACTGCTGCAGAGTGATAAAATAAGGCCACATATTAACAGAGAGTACTTGATGCAGAGTGATAAAACTAGGCTGCATATTTACAGAGAGTACTGATGCCAAGTGAAAAAATGAGGCTGCATATTGACAGAGAGTACTGACGCAGAGTGATAAACTTAAGCTGCATATTGACAGAGTACTGCTGCAGCGTGATAAAATTGGGCCGCACATTGACAGAGTACTGCGGCAGGGTGATAAAATTAGGCTACATATTGACAGAGAGTACCTGATGCAGAGAGATAAAATTAGGCTGCATATTGACAGAGAGTAATTGATGCAGAGTGATAAACTTAGGCTACATATTGACAGAGAGTACTGCTGCAGAGTGATAAACTTAGGCTACATATTGACAGAGTACTGCTGCAGAGTGATAAACTTAGGCTACATATTGACCGAGAGTACTGCTGCAGAGTGATAAAATTGGGCTGCATATTAACAGTGAGTACCTGATGCATAGTGATAAAATTGGGCTGTATATTGACAGAGAGTACTGGTGCAGAGTGATAAAATTGGGCTGCATATTGACAGATAGTACTGATGGAGAGTGAGAAAATTATGCTGCATATTGACAGAGAGTACTGCTGCAGTGATAAAATTGGGCTGCATATTGTTAGAGAATACTGCTGCAGAGTGATAAAATTGGGCTGCATATGGATAGAGAATACTGCTGCAGAGTGATAAAATTGGGCTGCATATGGATAGAGAATACTGCTGCAGAGTGATAAAATTAGTCTGCATATTGACAGAGAGTACTGCTGCAGAGCGATAAAATTAGGCTGCAGAAAGTACTGATAAAAATTAGGCTGCATATTGACAGGCTTGCTGCAGAGGATAAATTGGGCTGCATATTGATAGCGAGTACTGCTGCAGAGTGATAAAATTGGGCTGCATATAAAATAAGGCTAATTGACAGAGAGTACTGATGGAGAGAGAAAATTAGGCTGATAAAATGCTGGAGTGATAAAATTGGGCTGCATATTGACAGATAGTGGAGTGTAAAATTGGGCTGCATATTGACAGAGAGTAGCTGATAAAATTAGGGCTGCATATTGACAGAGAGTACTGCTGCAGAGTGATAAATTAGGCTACATATTGACAGATTGTACTGTTGCAGTAAAATTAGGCTGCATGACAGAGTGCAGAAAAAATTAGGCTGCATATTAACAGAGAGTACTGCTGCAGAGTGATAAAATTGGGCTGCATATTGTTAGAGAATACTGCTGCAGAGTGATGAAATTGGGCTGCATATGGATAGAGAATACTGCTGCAGAGTGATGAAATTGGGCTGCATATGGATAGAGAATACTGCTGCAGAATGATAAAATCAGGCTGTGTTTTGACAGATAGTACTCCTGCAGAGTGATAAAATTGGGCTGCATATGGATAGAGAGTACTGCTGCAGAGTGATAAAATTGGGCTGCATATTGACAGAGAGTATCTGATGCTGCTGCATATTGATAGCGAGTGATAAAATTCAGGCTGCATATTGACAGAAAGTACTGATGCAGAGTGATAAAATTAGGCTGCATATTGACAGAGTGATAAAATTAGGCTGATGACAGAGTACTTGATAAAAAACTTAGGCTACATATTGACAGAGAGTAACCTGATGCAGAGTGATAAAATTGGGCTGCATATTGACAGATAGTACTGATGGAGTGTGTTAAAATTGGGCTGCATATTGACAGAGAGTACTTGATGCAGAGGGATAAAATTAGGCTGCATATTGACAGATAGTACTGCTGCAGAGTGATAAAATTAGCCTGCATATTGACAGAGAGTACTGCTGCAGAGTGATAAAATTAGGCTGCATATTGACAGATAGTACTGTTGCTGCAAAAGGGATAAATTATTGATGCATATTAGACAGAGAGTAATTGATGCAGAGGATAAACTTAGGCTACATATTGACAGAGAGTAGAGTGATAAAACTAGGCTACTATTGACAGAAAGTACTGCTGCAGAGTGATAAACTTAGGCTACATATTGACAGACTGCTGCAGAGTGATAAACTTAGGCTACATATTGACAGAGAGTACTGCTGCAGAGTGATAAAATTGGGCTGCATATTAACAGTGAGTACCTGATGCATAGTGATAAAATTGGGCTGCATATTGACAGAGAGTACTGCTGCAGAGGATAAAATAAGGCCACATATTAACAGAGAGTACTTGATGCAGAGTGATAAAACTAGGCTGCATATTGACCGAGAGTACTGCTGCAAGGTGATAAAATTGTGATAAAAGTTACCTGATGCATAGTGATTGACATTGACAGAGTACTGCTGCAGAGTGATAAAATTGGGCTGCATATTGACAGAGTACTGCTGCAGGGTGATAAAATTGGGCTGACATACTGGATAAAATTAGAGAAGAGAGTACCTGATGCAGAGAGATGATAAAATTAGGCTGCATATTGATAGACAGTACTGCTGCAGAGTGATAAAATTAGGCTGCATATTGACAGAGAGTACTGCTGCAGAGGGATAAAATTAATGATAAAAATTGATGGAGTGATAAACTGGCATATTGACAGAAAGTACTGCTGCAGAGTGATAAACTTAGGCTAGAGAGATAAGAGTGATAAACTTAGGCTGCATATTGACAGAAAGTACTGCTGCAGAGTGATAAAATTAGGCTGCATATTGACAGAGAGTACTGATGCAGAGTGATAAAATTTGACAGATAGTACTGATGGAGAGGAGAAAATTATGCTGCATATTGACAGAGAGTACTGCTGCAGTGATAAAATTGGGCTGCATATTGTTAGAGAATACTGCTGCAGAGTGATAAAATTGGGCTGCATATGGATAGAGAATACTGCTGCAGAGCGATGGGCTGGAAAGTACTGCATAAAATTAGGCTGCATATTGATGAAATACTGCTGCAGAATGATAAAATTAGGCTGCATATTGACAGATAGTACTCCTGCAGAGGGATAAAATTGGGCTGCATATGGATAGCGAGTACTGCTGCAGAGTGATAAAATTGGGCTGCATATTGACAGAGAGTACTTGATCTGATAAATAAGGCGATAAAATGGAGAGGAGAAAATTAGGCATATTGACAGAGAGTACTGCTGCAGAGTGATAAATTCAGGCTGCATATTGACAGATAGTACTGATGGATGCAGAGTATTGATAAAAAAATTAGCCTGCATATTGACAGAGTACTGATGCAGAGTGATAAAATTGACAGAGAGTACAGCTGCAGAGTGATAAAATTGATATTGTGAGAATACTGCAGAGTGATAAAATTAGGCTTCATATTGAATACTGCTGAGAGTGATGAAATTGGGCTGATGCAGATAGAGAAACTGCTGCAGATAAAATTGGGCTGCATATTGACAGAGAGTATCTGATGCAGAGCGATAAAATTGGGCTGCATATTGATAGCGAGTACTGCTGCAGAGTGATAAATTCAGGCTGCATATTGACAGAAAGTACTTGATGCAGAGTGATAAAATTAGGCTGCATATTGACAGAGAGTACTTGATGCAGAGTGATAAAATTAGGCTTCAGATTGACAGAGAGTACTTGATGCAGAGTGATAAACTTAGGCTACATATTGACAGAAAGTAACCTGATGCAGAGTGATAAAATTGGGCTGCATATTGACAGATAGTACTGTTGCAAAATTAATGCATATTGACAGAGATAAATAAAATTAGGCTGCATATTGACAGATAGATTGCAGAGTGATAAAATTAGGCTGCAGATTGACAGAGTACTGATGCAGAGTGATAAAATTAGGCTGCATATTGGAGGTTGTCAATCAGATGCATGCCAGTCTCATACAGCTTTTTAGAAAAAGTGTTGGATCATTGCTGAAATGGTCCGATCTGGTTGATAAATTATGAATTAATTTTTTGTCACCATTTTCTTTTCTGAAAAAATAAGCTTTTTCTTTTCTGATGACAAAACTGATAAATGGATCAATCAAAACAACATTAGCAATATTAACAAGATAAAGGTGTTCATTTTTTATATACAAAAGTTGAAATATATGCTTTATTTGAAAAAAATAATTAAAATATTAATAATTAATAAAAAATAATGACATTTGTGAAAACTTACATATTTATCAACAAATCAAATACTTAATTATGTATTTTTGTAAGTAAGTATATAATCTTGGTCATCATACAAACACTTATTCTTGTGGGTAAAAAAGCAAAACTGGAAAAGCATATGATGTAACTTCTAATTTAAAACAGGACTTGACTCTTTTGACAAAAAACATTGCAAAATTTAATATTAGAAAGAAATCCAACTGCCTTTTCTCTTTTAAGTTTTCATATCACTGCTTATATATTTAAATGTATTTAATCAGTTAATAGACACAAAACTTGAAAATTTCTGATGAAGCTAAACAAATAGCAAAACATGCCAAATTTATAAGGGTTTTCCGACTTGTTTATTATTTAATCAGATATAGAAATAGCTATAATCAGAACCCCCCATATACTGTGGAAGGCTGAAGAATGTATTGGCTGAAAACAGCAAGAATTAGAATTCTAGAATAAGAAAAATGTTGAGAATGTTAATTTCTTGAGATGAATATCGTCTGGCTGTTAAATGCCATTTTCATTTTTCACTTTGAAGATGCGGACACAGAAGAACAACTATCTGATGCAGATAAAGAACTTTTGGAACGTTGGAAGAACATGCAGACTCAGAAATCCACTTCACAATTAATAAAAAATGTTACTAATTCAAATAATACAACACCCTCAAGTTCACTGACCTTGTGCCCTGAACAAGAGCCTCTTCCTGTTCTGCTGGGCAGCACACAGCAACAAGCCCCTTGCAATGGCAGCAGTAATCAACCTTTAATTCTTTGTCATAGTTCAGCGACACATGTCTTACCTCTGTCACATCATGTGACTGGTGTAACACAGGTGGCCAGCACATCGAATCTTCAACTCCAAGCAGAAAGTAGCAATTCAGTTAATTCTGGCTCAGAAACTAGCTTGACACCAAGTACCAGCTGTAATACCAATAATCCACAGACAACAGCTTTGTTTGATCTGTTGAATGTGACTAATGATGCTAATTCCCAGACAAATGCACAACAAGCTTTTAATACACTTGATGTCAGCAGTTTACATCTGTTAGGCCTTCTTAATCTGCAAAACAACCAACAGGTTGGAATGCTTGACCCAAATTATCTGCCTGCACAAAGTACTCTAAATCATTTACGTCCAGCTGCAACTTCCTCTTCCCATCATGCAACTCCAGCCCAAGGGATGTGTATAAGTGAAAGAGTTCTGATGCCAAGTAATTCCACTGATAGCAACAACCACACTCATGACACAAATGTTCTGAGCAAGTCTCTTTCATCAACCCCTCCACAGTCTACTTTACTGCCTTCAACACATAACAACAACAACAATACTGCTATAACAACAACAACAGTAACAACAGCAACCACTTCTTCTTCTGCAGTTTCTTCAGCCTTGTTTGTCCAAACAGACATTCCACTTTCAACTGCTTCTGTTGAAGATGGTTTCCCAAATGTCATGAAATGGAAAAATCTCTCCTTTGAACGCTCTTCTTCCAATGAGAATTCAATCTCATCCAATAATGTCTTTGAGATTATAGACAAGAATCAGAAACAGATTTATACCATGTCTTCAGAAGCTTCTTCATTGACATCATCATCTGTCGGGACAGCAGGAAATTTGATGTCAAACTCACCAGAAACAAATTTCCCCAATGGCTCATTTCAAAATCAGTTTTCACCTTTACCAACAATACAGGTAAGTTCTTTAAATAACTTGAAAGAGTTTGACTTGTTCAGAAAGTAAATTCCTGAAACAGGTCATTGTCAGCTCGGTTGCTGTAATAGTTGTGTCCTTTGAATTGTTGTTCATGGACAGTGTTCAAAATCAGCTAAAAGATCATCATTTTAAGATTGACACAACAAAGTTTTTTTCTCCCTGCATCATGTACTTTAGTATGCCAGCCTCACAGATGTATGCTGCATGCAGTGGTCTTTATAAGTCACTTAGTACTTCACTGTTTCGTTTCCTCCTTGACAAATCACTAAAGCTTTAACTCATACGAGTATGTGTGCATATATATGTGTGTGTATATATATATATATATATATATATATATATATATATATATATATATATATATATATATATATATGGGATTGGTATCTAGGTGCCTGATTAGCCTACTGGGAGTGACTGGGAGTCACGTATGCATGTCTCTGGGATTATTAGTATTATTGGTGTGAGTTGTCGCAGTGTTGTGCCAACCATAATTCTCAGCACATGCATTACTGACATCTTAACATCTACTTTTTCTCTGGTGAAATGGTAACATACAGGTCTGTGGAACTGGAAATATGCAGTGGCTGACCTACACACTGGCAGCCTTTGATAGATATAAAGTTGCTTGCTTACCTATGAAGGCAATGGCAACACTTGGTTGTGTGAAAGGTAACTGAGCATCCCCGTTTAAGGATAGCACTGCTCACCAGATATTTGGAGGGGTCTAGAAAAAGAGATCAAAACATTTTCTGTCTCACTGATTAAGTCTGACCAATTTAGTGCAATTGGTGAATGCCACATTAAGCACTCAAAATCAAATAATGAAAACTTCATGTTAGGGGATTTTTAAGTGACTGGGAGACATGTAGTTGCCTAGAGAGGTTTCACCATCACATTGCAAGTACACAATTCCAGCACAAAGATGACCATATAACAGCCTTGATGCACCCAAGGTCCTGTCAATGACACCTACTAGACTACATTAAAATCAGCAAACTTGACATTCAGGATGTCTACAATGCAAGATCAACATGAGGTGTGGACTATTGGATGAAACAATATTTATTCTGCAATTTATAACAGAAATGTGGCACAAGGCCGAAATAGGGGAATGGGGAGAGGACGGTCTTCTTCTGTCTTAGTTTTAACTTAGCTAGACGCAAACACTGACCCAATCGTACGGATAATATTCCTTACACCAAAACAACGCATTTATTGGATGAAACAAGCACTTGTGCATTTCAAGATGCATTTGGTGATTAAAGCCAGTTACTTGAAATTGTACTACTGAGAAGTTACCAAAGTTCCTGGATGTTGCAAACTCCAAGCCAAATGACACATGACAAGCTCAAATTGAAACTCGTGTTAATTCCACTGAGAAGAATCTTGTGATGAGATATTCAATTCAGCAAAAGTGAATGAAGTTAGCTTCAGCTAAAAATGATGACTAGTTTGATGAACAAGATATGAGAACACATACTACAAAAAGGACAGCCCACAAACACCCAACAACAACTCCAAAAACAATTCAAAGAAGCAGAGCTCAATGCTCCATGTAGGCTTTGTGAAATGGAAGACACTTGGTGGTCTGACTTAGTTGCAGAAATGCAAGCTACTGTAGTCAAAAAGAATAGTAAAGTTCAAAAGATGGTACAAAGTTCCTTAACAGCATTGTGGAAATCAGTAGGAGATGGAAAGAACACTTTATGAACAGGGATAGTCATGTAGACCAATCTGCTCTTTACCACTGTCAGCAAAAACAAATTGTTCTTTCTTTTTTTAATCAAGTTAACCCCAATCAAACCACTAAGACACAAGGGGTTATTGAGTGTGGAAGAATTAGAAAATGGAAACATTACTAATGATAGTGGAAAATCGAAGAGTAATCCGGAAGATAGTAGATTGCATTTAAATATTTGAAGGTGAAAGTCAGCTGTAAAGCATGCACCTGGAAAAGAGTTCCACAAGCAAGAAGTGTGAGAAAAGAAACTGTTAACATAGAACTTATGATTACATCTAGCCAACTCAATGATAAATTGATGAGACCTTGTTGCCAATCTTACCATGAAAGTAACTGAAGCAGACACCAGGTCAGGACCAATAATATTGCTGATTCTGCTTTGGATTTTATCAAGGATCTCTAAATATATAGCAGAGGCACCATTCCATGTGTGGCAGCAATATTCTAAGCATGGACAATGGTAGACATAGATGTATCAGATAGATTCTGGAAAGAAAAATTGTCTAACATGACACAGTGAACTAACTTTCTTAGCAGCTGATCTAGCAATGGATTCAGTATAGTTTTTTTAACTTCATGTTAGCTGAGAATGTTAAACCAAGAGGGTACAATGAGTCACTTTTCTGGAGGTTAATATCAGGCAGAAATGGGCCTATCAGATGATAGATAATATAGAGCAGTGGAATCTATGAATGATGCTTTTAGCTTGGAAGAAGTAAAAGCATTTATCAGCAAGTTGAACATAGGGAAATCTCTTGGAAAGCTCAACATCTTTACTCAAATGTGGTGGTGATATTATACATAGAATCATTCTGAACACTTGCAATGTTGGGAGAGAAACAGAAAACTTCTGTGGAAGATCTAAAAATGCTTAGGCTATATTTTGTAGATCCATCCAGTTATTCCATGTTAACATTGGTGGTTTACTTTCAGAACCTGTCAAGATATGAAATTGTATCAAGCAAGGTGACTTTGTAACACCTACATTGTTCTCTTAGTGATCTACTTGTTTGAAGAAGGCAACTGATGCTTTTGAAGTTCTAAAAGGTAAAGTTTGATCTGAAAGGACAAGAAATGCACAAAGATGGCAGTATACCTGTGTGATGACGTACCTGCTTTACTCCTGTAAGACACGAGTTATGTACTGCAGACACTTAGATACTCTAGAGATTCTGCTAACAATGTTTTAAGATTGATTCTTGTTATTTAATGGATATCAAACATGCCAGGCATTGTGATCTGTAAAAAGGCCAATGCAATCAGAATTGAGGCACACATTTATCACCACAAGCTTCACTGGGCTGGCCATTTTATTTGCCTTGATGCCATCAGAATACCCAAACAAATGCTTTATGCTACTCAACCCCAGCATAAATCAAGGAAGTACTTCAAGAAATGTTTAAAATAGTCTCTTGCAACCTGCCATATAGTGCTGCTGTTTGTGATTGATATAATTGGAGGTGTACAATTCATGAAAATGTTCAAGATCATGCAAGGAGTTGGGTAAATGTCAAGTATGCAGCTAGAAAAGGGTAAATCTTTGAGCCAGTAATACAAATGTGACAGAGTATGTATCTTTAATGCAGGCTTCAGTAGCTACAATAAGTAATATTGTAGGCCTTTGACAAATTACAACCATTACTATGATGGGAAACACCCGTCACATGAAAGCCCACAAGCAATCTGAATAGACTTTACAAAACAGGCTTGGCCCTCTACAGGATAACCTAGTTTGCCACATGTGCAATAAGCATTACAAGTGATTTTCAGGCTTCAGGAACCATTTTCACTCTCATGGGAACCAATAACATTGATCAAACTTGTCAGCAAGTTTAACACGTTGAGTTGTGTATATATAGATATAAGCAATTGTCTTGCTTGTCTTTATATGAAGACATTTTTTTAATTATATAACAGGGTGGTAACCATAGTTCAATGTTTTACTACTTAAGAATGTCTAATGACAATTTGAAGCAAGAAATAACTAAGATTAAACAGTGACAAAAACTCAGGGAAACTAAATGTTGATGTGAATAAGGGAAGAAAAACGGAATTAAAAATAAGCCATAAAATCAGTTTGGAGAAGGCTCTAGAAAGATTTGAACCTGAAATAAACCAAGTAGAATTCATTAATACTAGATCTTACCCAAACTACCCCCGTTGCCTCCCATACAATATGACAAAGATTTATGGTTTTCTAAAATTTCCATAATTCCAAGGAAGAATTCTTGCTATGTTTATACAAAGTCCTATTAGCCCTCGGATGTTCACATCATTACCCAAATTTAGACTCCAGATTCAGCCTGATCTCCTTTCAAAGAGGGCTATCTGTTACTGAACAAAAGGTCATATGAATATCTTAATAAAAAAATATGCAATAAATCTATGTAAAGAGAGTCACAAACTTCCTTATATAAATGAAATGGGTTAGAGACAGACAGGCCACACAGACAAGACAAGTTACCAGAGGTCCATTATAAACCATTCCCCTCTCTTGCTGCTATTGCTTCTATCACTAACAAACCCACAAACACAAGTACAGATAGACAAGAATATATTGCCAAGATCAAAGTTTCTCAATTTACTGCAAATTGCTTAGGACTGCACAGCCAGTTTTCACACCTGAATTATCAGCAGGAATCACAATGACCACTGGGTGAAATCCATGTGAAATCTAGTTACCTTCCAGCTTGCTGATGTCTACATGCAATAACTGTGAAGATCAAAAACACTGTCAAATGACAATGTCAAGAATATTACATTATTGTTAGCACAGGGAACAACATATTGATAAGATGAACCTGGTTATATAAATCCTACTTTTAAAATTTATTTCTTAATTATTTCATGTTTTATTTTATCTTTTCAATGTCTGAAAGAAAATGGTTGTATATTTGTAGATTTTTTAAAATAAGAAATATTTTTTCCAGGTGAGCTGCATTGAAGAAGACAAGAAAAATGTATTACAAGAAAAATCTTTGGTGACACAACAGGGAGAAGGTTCTTCTGATCTTATATCTGCTCTAAGCAAACAACTGTCAAAATACCAAGTAGAAGATTCTGTTCCCCCTGCCCTGGCATTGACCCCTAAAGGTACAGGAAATGGTTATGGGGTTGGCTTAGACCTGGATGCTTTTATGGCTGAAAACCTGTCTGACAAAAATGATTGGTAACTTTTTTCCCTCTCTTTATTCTTCTTACACGTTGCAATTTGTATTTCATTTCTCACCCACAAGTCATGCAAAAATCTTAATATTTCTACTTGTATAGCACTATGGCTAACACAATCCTGATTATGGCAACTAAATAATAACATTATAATTGACAAATGGACTTGTGTTCTGATCACTGAACAAGAGATGAATAGAGGATTATTCATATTGTATTTAGAAGATCTGAAGAGGTCCCAAGTTCACAGTTGAAACATCACAAATCCAAGCCAGCCATGTGTCACAGAAAACTAAAGTTGACTGACTTCTTGCTACAGTAAGGAAGACCAGAACATGTTTAATGAGTTATTAAGATTTATAATAATTAATTCTTGTTATTGACTATTGATAGTCTTTCAAGCTGGCACTCCCTTTCCTCCTCTTGACAGATATTGTATTGTAGTTGTCTGAATTTTGAGTTGTTCATTAATAACTATCATTATGATAGAACAATAATCATCTGAGTTGGCTTGTTCATCTTTACTTTTGCTTTCTGCTAGAATCTAGTTTGGTCTATTCATTCATATATGAACTTCAGCTTACTATTATCATCTACATTTGTTTATATGGGAACTTTATGTGTGGGTGGTGCACTGGATAGTGGCTCAGAATTAGATATCAGAAAGCTAAGGTATGAATTCATTTCTTCTACCAACAGCTATGGTTAAAATAGTAGGACTTGTATCTGTACAAATCATTGTTACTCTAAAAACAAAATTATAATGCAGTATTCACTTAAAAACAAATAAAAAAAGTATTATTCTTACAATTCCAAATATGTTTCAGCTTTAAATAAGCCACAAAAATCAAATCAAATTATATGGGAACTCATTCGACAACCTGTCAAAAATGATGCAAGATTCAATTTTATATAAATAAACCACACAGCCCATTGGCTTTGGCCAAGGTTTTATTTTATTTTTTAAAGACGTTTTATTTAAATTTATTCTGCTTAAGGCACCACACCAATATGATGGATAAAGTCTTGATATAAACAAACCTCATGGCCTGATAGAGATTTTATATTTGGAATACCTATTAATTATTTATAATTTTCATCTCTGTATTCAGAATTCTTGAAAATCATTTTTTAATTAACTGCACAACAAACATTAGTTGAATATTTTGAAGGATCTGCTTAAACATTTCTGGCATAAGATTATTGTCCAGTGTTATTAAAAATGCAATTGTTACAGGATCATTGCATAACTATCAGTCAAGGAGTTGATCTTTGATTAAGCACTTTGGTTGAAACCTAATGTTTAAAGTATCAGTTTTGAATTCAGATCTGTCCTTCTCCTAGAGTGGTTGCCAACTATTGCTAGTGGGGAAAAGAGATGAATTCATGCCTTTCCCAAAGGTATTTTTGCATAATTGAATGTAATAAACTCAACTGGAATTTAAACTCAGCCACTATTCATTACACCATCCACAGAGACTTATAACAGTGTTAGATTATTAACCTATTAATGCCCATTGTCAGGATTGTAAGAATAAATGCCAATTTTTTTTTCTGTTTAATTTTTTCTAAAATCAGTTTTGTTTATTTTATTTCTTTTTTTTCCAGCAACAAATTTCTTTCTCCATTATCATCATCTCTCCTTGCCAATTGGATGGATGTGACTGCCAATATGGACATTCAAGGGCTAGAAAAGGAACTGGAACTCAGTATGCTTTCCCCAATGGCTTTGTCTTACACTGACCTTCGTTTATATTCATCATGATAGTTGCCTAGTCCTAAAAACAATTGGTCTTTATTGACCTCTGACTTCAATAGTGACTAATTTTATATCAAAATATTTTTCTTATCAAAATCAAAAATGTCATATCATAAATATCTTAAACTGTTACATGACTATCTTAATGTGATTGTTTATTATTAATTTGAGCTTAACTTCCCCATTATATTACCATTACTCTGGTAAATGCTTCAGTTGATATTTGCTAATCTTGCGGACACAAAAAATAGGTCACTAAGTAAAAACTTTCTTTTGGATCTTCAATATTTTAATTTAGGTCATGTCTTCCATCTCAGAGAATATTTATCAAAAATGGCAGATTTTATATTTGGACAACTTTATCACATTTTTTAGATTACAATAAACAAAGAATAAGAAAAAAAAAGGACTTCATCTTTAATGAATTAAATAAATCCAATTATTTGCAGTATAACCTTTTCTGTTGCAATAAAAAAATTTCATTCATATTCATATCACTGATTACAAATTTTTTAAAATTCATTAAATAACCAAAACATTAGGAACGCACATTAATTATTGTGTCCATCAAGTAAACTCTGGACTCTTCATTTATTTCATAAAATTTTGAAAAGTGTTATAATTGAAAGAGATCATGTCAATTGAGCATTTTTTTTCTTAAATCTGTCTTATCTGTATGAAAAAAGACTTTTTGCTTTGTACTGCTTAGAAAAATAGAGATTTTCTTGGGACATGTTTTATTATAGCCATTAAAACCTGATTTTCATGGATGGAAATGGATGAAAAAATATAATAACTAAAAGGCAGTTTGAAAAAGAAAACAGCAAAAAACTGGCTGGTTTTTGTTCTCATCAAAGTTCAATTGAGGAAATAAACTACAAGGAGAGAAATATTCTTATTGAGGATAAGATAAACACATATATTAATAATATATTAATATATGCATATATATTACAGATTGCATTAAGATTTAACAGCCATTCCTTCTGTTTACAAAGAAAAGACTGTAGAGATTTAATGAGTAGGGTCTCTAAAACTTTCAAATGAATGCCTGAATATAACTGGCTTAAACAGTAACCACACTCTCATGGTAGGACATGCTTTTTTTTTAATTTATGTTAACATAATAGTTACTATAAATGATGATATTTAAAGTGTTTTTTAAGTTGATTAAGGTTGTTTTGGGATGTGTTTAGGACAAACAAAATAAAAAGTTAGTTTAAAACCCTGATTATCTGCAAATTGGATTTTCCGAATTACTTTCATCTTTGCAAAATTGTAAAAAATTGTCAAACTTTTACTAGACTTGATATCAGTGAAAATTAGTCTTTGTATACCGAGTTAAAATTTTATCATTAATGAAGAAAGTTTTGATTATTTGTTTTTCTGATAAATTTAAATTTTACAAATTTTCTTCACTTTCTAATCTTTTCATGATTTCAATAAAACCACAAAAGCAATAGTCAAAAAATTTATAATTGTTAGCAAAAATAACAAGAATGCAAATATGAACTTTCTTTAGGATGATAATGTTGTTAGATTTCAAGTGAAATTGATTCAAATTATGCTTTTATTCAATCATAATTTTTTTTCAAATAATATTTAATAAATCAAATTCATATCTGATTTGTTTCTTTTTTTTATCTATTTCCATTTTATTTTATTCATTGTTAAATATATTTATGGCTTGTTAATAAGAGCATGAATGATTTTGTTCACTGCAACTGAAGAAAATTCAAACAAGAAATGAGAAGAATAAAAAGTAACTCAAAAGTATATTCAATTAATACAAAGTGAGGGACCAATTTTATAATATAATTTAGTTATAAACAGATTTAATAGATTTACATTATTTACATTTGAACTAAGATCCTCATCTTTGTTGTTATTTTGTATAACTTATCCAGATCTTGTTAGATTTTGTTCATATCTATGTTAAATGTTATAGTGCTTAGAAATTGGAAAATTCACATTGAAGCTGATGAGGATGTTAGTCTAAATGTAAATAATGATAACACTCCATCCCAGAAATTCATTGATTTTATATAGTTTCATAAGGATTAGTAAGGATGCTCATATTGTAGAAGAGGATTAACATTATAAATAAGGAGTACCAGGGTCTATACAAGGATGGTTGATTAATATTTGAATGAAGAAGAAAGACAACCTAAATGTCCAAATAGTTGTAGCTTGGTATTGAGATTAAAATGAATTTGAAAGTAGTGAAGTTCCTTGGAGTGTTTAGAAAACTTAATAATAAATTATATAAATAGTGGACTGAATTATCCAAAGAATGTGTTTAATTCTTTGGTAAAATATGGCAGTGATGACCAGGGTTGAAAAAATTACTAAATTAGTATTCTCCCTTGGCTGAGTCAAAATTGCATAAATTATTTAATAAAAAGACTATCAGAATAAGTTACAGGTGTATACCTAATATAGGTAGTTTAATTAAAAGGCACAACATATAAAATAATTAACAGCACAAGAATGCTTGTAAAGCCAAGAGAGTAATTTCAGAATCAAGATGAATTGACGGCAAGTGACTGACTGAAAATTGCTTCTGGTTAGAGAGGTAGGCAGAGAGAAACAGTTTACACTAGGTTCACTAAGCTGTCATTTAAAGAGATAACCACAAAATGTTCTTTAATTTGGAAAGATATAGAATTACATTTTTTAATTATACAGGGTGATTGAAAAGTAACTCCCCATTTTAAAATACTTATAATTCATTTATTAACTATAATTTTTACAAGAAATGTGTATGAGAGGAAAGCATTTTGCTTGAGGTTTTATTTAAAATTCAATATGGGCTTAAGATTTCTACCAGCTATTCAAGCCACCCAGGAATCATCGGCTGATTTTACCAGGAACTCTTGTGGTATGGAAGATATAACTTCTTTTATTCACCCTTCAAGTTCTTCCAAAGTCTTGGTTTGGTATAGTAGACATGTTCCTTTCATCAACCCCAAAGAAAAAAGTCACAGGGTGTTAAGTCAAGACTCCTGGCTGGCCACTCATACATAAAATAAGGAGTTACTTTTCAATCATGCTGTATATGGTATATTAAAAAAAAGTACAGCAAGGACCTTTTTAATTGTGTAGAAGGTGATAAAAAGAAAAACTAGTTATAGGAACATCAACAGGTTTTGTAGATTATGTATGGATGAAAAGCTAGCAACATACATAGAGTCAGCTGAACTGTTCAATGCCAGGTAAGAGGTGTTAGATAAATGTTGATACTTTAAGAAATAACTTGCTCGTGCATTTTGCCCCAATAGAAAAAGAAACTCAGATCCCTCCCATTGATTTTGTCTGAATTGCTTTATGCTCTCTACACCATCAGTTGGCTGTTTAATTGTATCCACTCCATACAATATTTTAAATGTCCTAACACAAGCATGAAGATCCACAAGTGAAGGTGTGCAGGCTAGTAAGTTACTATACTATATACAAGGGTGGGCTGAAAAGTTCATGAATTTAGAAGGGGAAGGGAGAGTCTTTACTCAAGGTCTGGATATTCTTCAACTGCCACCCCTGAAAAAAACATTAGTCATGTTCACCACAGGCAGTTGACTATAAATCAGTTTTTAATATACAAAAGGCATTGTGCTTATTGACTATCTTCAAAATGGCCACACCATTAACTGAGGCAATTAGGAAAAACAATCAAAACCGAACATCCAGAAAAACTGACAAAGGGGTCTTGTTTTATTAGAACAAAACTCCAGTCTTTGTTTACAATAGCTACAGTTTTTGACTGTGAACTGATTAATCACTCTCCCTAATCTCCTGATTTTACTATCGTCTGTTCCTCAACATGATGAAACACTTGGCTTGGAAACACTTTTTTGACCAAGAGTCAGATGCCAGTTTACCTGGAAAGAAGCAACACAGTTATTAATAAGACTTTAAATTAATGCATGCAAAATTTCACAGCTCTAACATCACTCCATCATAGTCAGTCTATGAACTTTTCATTCCACCCTTTATATATATATTGTTTTAAAAGTATTCAGTTTAGCATTACAAGGCATAATGAGGGCTAAAGAAATAAAAGGAGGGAAAAACGAACGGTTTTGCACCTGCATATAAAAGTTTCTTTTTTGGGGGAGAATTTAAATTAAAATTATAATAAATATATAAAGATATGAATTAGTCAATGATGGGAATAGGGGTGGAGGTAAAGGAACTACCAGAAACTGAAAAAGTGAATGTGAATTGGCTAAAACAGAGAACCATTCTTATGTAAGTTTATGCAGATCTGCACAAGCTTATGGTCTGTATAAACTGAACTATGAAAACTTGGACAGCCTAAGGGTCCTAAGTTGACTCTCCTAACTAGAACCTGGTTGATGTAGCTAGAAAGCTGCAATACTAAGTAGAAATTCAACTTTGTCACAATTCTGCTTCTATTAAATTTTGTACACCAACTTTATCCACACATAGCAAACAAATGAGCTCTTTCTCAAAACTCTTCCAACAGTCAGGAACCAATACAATGGGACAACAAAACTGATTTAATGTGTAGCATTGGATAAAGACAAATTTTAATAGTAAATGCTGAACAATCTACACTACTCATGCATCTTCCAGGATGTGTTCCAACTCTAACTTGCTTGAGGAAATAATACAGCATCCTGATGACAGCACAAGTACATTTTGTCGACATGTGTTTAATCAGTCATCTCAATCATACTTCTGACATCTTTTATTGCCAGCTCACAAGGACAGAAACAAAACTACATATGAGCAGAAAAAAATTCTGCCCATCTCGAGGGTAGAAGTGTTAGGTTACCCATCCTAATTTTCGAAACTGTTCCTAGGGTACACTCTCCAAACTATAAATACTTGGCGATATTTTTCTCGTTCTTTTCTTAATTTATCCATAACATGAAACTTCTCGCAGAGAACGTGCTTCCCTTTGGGAAACACATGAACAATATACATACACACACATGTATGTATGCACATTCACTCACTACACATACTTTGGACTCAAAAGG